ATATAGAAACAAATGTTTTGGCGACACTAGAAAGCACACACCAACTCCGTCCTACTACGATCTATGAAGGGTGTGTTTGTCTGGGAGTTTAATGTGATATAAATAAATATTGATGTGATATTTTGAACGTAAAATTAATTTTTAATATAATATAAAAAATAAATATTTAATTTGATATTTTTGAAAAAAAAAAATTTGTATGAATAATATGAATTCTCCAAAATCCTCCTAACAAAATTTTGTCAATTACTCCTTTTTCTATATTGTAAATTTAGACATGTCCAATCACCTTCACATGTTCAAACCATAGCCCTGTCGAATCAATACATATACATATATATATATATTTGTATGTACATATCTGTATGTATTATTGAATCGTGTATAGAATTAGGCTATCGAGGATATAGGTTGATGTGTCTGATTGTGATTTTAAATTAACATTTACATTATTCATCGCGTATAGTTTTTAATAAAAATATAGTATTATTTTATATTATAAAGTATCATATTAAGATATATATTTATAAAATATCAAATTAAATATTGTTTTGCTGATTTCAAAATTTACAAAACTCTAATGGTGTGTTTTTTTTTTTTTTGTTTGAATTTAGTTTGAAAATTTAAGTTTTTTATTTAAATAATAATTAATTAATATTTTATGAAAAGAAAATTACTTCTTTATTACAAAAATAGATTTATTTTTATTTTTTATGTTTATCATAAAAAGCAATTTTATTTATTTTTAATAAAAATGATGTATTTTTACTTTTATATCATATTTTTTTATTTACTATAAAATATATAAAATAACAAAAAGTAAATATCATATTAAAATTCGTGTTAAAACTAAATGAAATTATTATTATAATTATTAGTAGTAGCAGTATAAGTATTAGTATTAGTATTATAATATATATTTTTTTACGACGGACGAAGTTTTTTTTTTTTTATTTGAAAGTATGAGTCGAAATAATTAAAAAGTATGTGAAAACAAAAAATGAAATAAATCCAAAACTTAAAAAATTTGTTTGTTTGTAGTTTAAAATTGATTCAAAATTAGTATTTAATTTGATATTTTATATATATATATATATTTATCTTAAAAAGAAATACTATAAACAAATATGAAATAGTATAGGGCAGTAGCTACAGTGTTAGCACTGTGTTGAACAGCATGTATTCGGCTAACAAACAACCCATAATATTATTATTGGCAGTACATAAGCATATGAATATGATATACTCTCATAAAATACATGTAACAATTAATTTTACCATACATATTCTTATAAAACGGCGCAAACAGATGACACATATTTATTACAAATAACACATATTATATATTATTAAAAATATGTACTCTCTCCGTTTCAATAAAATAGTCTTATTTTCATAAATAATCATATTATCATAAAATTACCTCTACTTTTTTACTTTTATTACACAATTGCCACTACTTTTTACACTAATACACTCGCAAGGGCAAAAAAATCTGTTATCTATACTTTTTACCTACTACAAATATAATATCAATATTTTTAAATTTTCGTATCTAATCTAATTAAAACTATATTTATGCGACGGAGGATATTATTTTTATATTTTACATGTGTTGCTGATTTTGCTAAATCAACTATGTAACCTTTTATTATAATATTTATTTCCATTTTTAGTGTTTCCGATTCACAAATTCTCTTGCAATAACTTGTCATTACCATTCACATTCCTTTTCTTTGTTGTGCCTTTTTTTGCTCATCTCAATAATTGTACCCTTTGTTTTTTTGGTACATTGAGATTGATATTTGACCAACCTCTCTAATTATCTCTATACATAATCTTTCATTTTTATTATTTTGAATTGTTTATAATTAATATATAATATTTTAAATTGAATAAATGTACTCACTGCATATAAAAAATACTTCCTTATTTCATCAAAAAAATTTAATGTACTACTACTCTTTTCGTCTCACTTTAGAGGGATTATTTGATATTCTGTAATAAATTAAAAATTAATAATATTTTATTAATTAGTAGAAGTGTGTACAAAATTTTGACATTTTTTGTCATTTAATTTTTGTATAAATTAATTGTGTGTAACGATATTTTTGTAAAAATTAAATAAAAATTAAAAATATTTTGATATAAGTGTATAATTACTCTTACTAAAATAAAAAAATTGATAGTTTTGAGTAGAATAAACAAAAATAATAAAAATGATACTTTTAATCAGGACAGAAAGAATATTTTATTTTACCGATTATCAAAATATCTTTAAAAACGTTTTATTCAATATAATAAGGATATGTTTACTTTGTGGATAAGATTATAAAATAGTACAATATTTTAATAAATTATATAATCATATAATAAAATAATAGTAAAATGTTTATTTTAATGCATTATTGATAAAATTATAATTTTTTTCTAAACTATATACCATTAATTATATGATAAAATTAATACTCGCCCCGTCACATAACAAAGTATCTATTTTTTCATTTTAGTCCGTCTCATAACAAAGTATTCATTTTCCTTTTTTAGTAATTGTATTATCTACCTAACATTACAAATACCTTTACAATTTACAATATATTACATAAATGTCATTATCTTTATATCACACATATTAATAAGGTTATTTTAGTCAATTCTACTTTATTTCTACTCTATTTCAATATAATACTAATATTCCTAAAACTATGTATAAAAAATAAATGGATATTTAGTTATGGGGCGAAGGGAGTATTAAATTAGCTATTAATAAAAAACAAAATAGTCTTTTTAACATTAATACTATTAGAAGAGAAGGGTTAATAATTTCTAATTATACTACTATTGTGTCGGATTTTATTTAATTACGGACTATAATAATAAATAAGAAACATACTTCCTTCGTCCGTCTCTAATGGTCACATTTATTTTTTGCGTGTGTTATTATACTTAACAATAAAAAAATTATATTTGTATAATTTTTTGTACAAATATTTTTCTATTAGTATTATAAGACACTAATTGAACTATTTTTATAATTTTTTTATTAATTTGTACTATATTTTAATATAATAATTAATATTAAAAGATCAACGCGTAAAAAATAAATGCGACTCTTAGAGCCGGACCGAGGTAATATAATTTAGGGTGGATAAAGTAATATTATCCACCGTAATCATTTAGCATAAGGAACTAATATATTCAACTAGTCAAATTCGCTAACTGATCAACTAACAACTAGCAGTTTAATTGAATCAACTATCGACTAAAAATTAACAATTAATTGTAAACATCAAATGATTATGTACCATTCAATTGACCCATTAAAATAATAATAATAATAAATTGACTATTTAAATATTTTAAAATAGTGTATTTGTATTAAAATTATGCCAAATAAATAATATTGACTTTGGTTTAAAATGATTTTTAAAAAAAACCCAGAAATTAATTCTTGTATAGGAAAATTATATACATAAAAATACAATACTCTTGTAAATGTTGTTCTTTTATTGTATTATTGTATATTAATCTTATCACTATCGAAAATTATTGATCCAAGCAAAGTGACATGCTAGTTCGTCAAAATATATTTTTTTCTTGTAAAGTTTTTTATAATTACTAAATCCTTTTTTTTTTCTAATTTATTTATTTATTTAAAGGGATTATTTTGTGGTATATAGTTATTTTTATTTTCCCAATTGCCACACACCAAATTGTTGACTATTTTGTATGGTTTGTTGGTAAATTTTGAAATACAAATAAATAATTCACAAACAACCCTCCACTCAATTTGAAATTTAACTCTTTGATTCAAACATTGTTTCATTTTTAATATACATAGGAATTTAGTGAATAAATTTCTTTTCTTTCTCAGTTTTTATTTTTTATTTTTTAATTTCTTTTTTCATTTTTATTTTATTTTTATTTTATTTTTGCTTTTTCCTCCTGATGAAGAAATGGGGCCCAATTATTTTTATTTTGTTTGTAAAAATGTGATACATTTTGAGTGTACTATTCTACAAGTCTTCATTGTATTACCACTTGAATGCATCATTCCATTTTGGTACTTCACATTTTTAGTACAACCAATTGGAGTAATGTGTTGCCTTTATTTGTTAAAATAAGAATTATTTTTTTAAAAAAAAAAAAAAAAGAAAAAAACAAACCCAGCAATGTATTTGATTGGTGATTTCTTTAATATTAATTTGGATATATATAATATTTTGTAAAATAATAATATATATATTGAAAATTATAAAAATTGAATAGTAATTTTATTTTTTTAGAAATGTCACAATAACAAATCCCAATTTATTTCATGGGTTTGTTCATTTAGTTTTTTTTTTTTTTTTAATGGTTTAAGTAAAATAATTGTTAAATGTGATTTATAATAAAATAAATATTCAATATAATATTTTTAGAAAAGTTAAAATAGTGAATAGTACTATTTTATAGTGTGTTTTGGTTTAATTTTCAAACTCAAATCGATATTATTTCATTCACACGATTTCTAATAAAAATATATTATTTTTTCTAATGGTGAAATATGTTAGATATGATATTTTTCAAGACTAATTATTAAGACTGAACTAATTCAGTATTAATATTATACTAATTATTTTGGGTCAAACATATTTGTTTTTTAATTTTTTCAAAAGCTTCAATTATATTTTTATAAAATTTCATATGTTAGTATTAAATTAAAAATTAAAAAAAAATATTATTTTAATATGATTATTAAAAAATATTTATTCACATGAGAAATAATTAAACCATATCAGGTAGAAGAGGAATCAGAGAATTTATTTTGCTGTACATGAGTAAAAAAAAGAAAAAAACAGTAGTAGTAGACTAGTAGTAGTAATAGGGGCAAAAGTGGAATTCAGTACGTTATGCATTACGCCGTCTAAGCTACCGTTAACGGCTTCCGTTATCGTTGTGACTATAAATACGGGTTCCACTTTCGTCTTCCTCCATACACAACTGCTCTGCTTCAGCGACAGACGAAGTGAATCGGAGGGGAATTTGAAGCGGTGGCGTGACGGAGAAGGTTCTCGCGAGAGATACATCCGACGCGCGTGCAGTGCAGCTGCTTTAATTGGTAATGTTATTGATGGGGAAGAGTAAGGATCAAGTGCAGAAGGAGAAATGCAGAGTTCAATCGGTGCTCGATCTTCTGAAGAGACAAGCTCCTCTTACTGTCAAACAGGTTCGTGATTCTCGATTTCACATTGTGTTAATGTTCGTGATCTCCTGTATGTAACTGTATGCGTGCAGTTCAAATCCTGAATGCTTATTCTTCGATAACCGCCTACAGTTTCTCACTGTTCTTCAGGCGATCGCTCCACGCGCACACACAAATACACATATTGATTCACAGTTATGATTAATGCAAATTTAAGTACCATGAGTAATTTTAAGAGTGAAGATGTAGACTCGTTGGGAAATCCACAAATTTCCGTCTGTTTAAATTGAATCGATTTTGTCCATTTGCCTCTGCGAAAGTAGTGTTTAGTACTTCAATTTACACGAGATGAATAAAAATTTTGAAATGAACATTGCAGGAGAAGTTTTGCAACAATGCCTGTGTGGAGAGGTTCCTGAAAGCCAAAGGAGACAGTGTGAAAAAAGCAGCCAAGCATCTCAGAAATTGTCTAGCTTGGAGAGACTCCATAGGTGCTGGTAATATCTATATACTATTGTATAATTTTACAACCACAGGAAATAAATAAACTCAATAAAAGAAGTGTTGTTCTTCTCAAAATTTTCACCAATTCCTTTTTTGTCTGCAGTCCACCTTTTCTCCGCATTTTCTTCTTGTTTTCTTGTTTTAAATAGGGAATCTAGCTTGCTTTTATGCAATTTTGAAATATACACCAATCAAAGTACATCAAAGAATAATAAAATGACAAGAGTGCAGTAAAGTGAAGCCATCCAGTGTTTGTTACTGACTTTTGTGTGGACTATATGAATTTGAAGACAATTTGATGGCTGATGAATTCTCTACTGAGCTTGCTGAAGGAGTTGCCTATGTAGCTGGTCATGATGATGAATTAAAGCCTGTTATGGTAAATCTTTCTTTATCCAAGCAATTTCTTCGCAGTACTCTGACCACAGCTAATATCGACTTATTTATACATATGCTTTTTTCTTTCAGATATTTAGAATCAAACAAGAGTACTACAAATACCATTCTCAGAAACTGTATGGACCTACCTTTACTTGCCTAGTTTTATCTATTTGTGGAGCTGCTTCTGTTTCAATTCCCTATTTCTTCAGTGCCATTTTTTTTTTTAATTCACCTAAACTATGGCTAATCTAATTTTCTTGTGCTTAACATTTGCAGGTTTACTAGGCTAGTGGTGTTCACAATTGAAGTGGCTATCAAAACTATGGCAAAAACTGTTGAGCAGTTCGTTATCCTCTTTGATGCCAGTAAGTTTTTCATTTATAATTTCTTCCCCTTTAGACTTTAGTACACAGAATTAAATCTCACAAATGGTCATATCAAAACATGCTCTGTGACAAACTAAAAGATCAGATGCAATTAATGTTCATTCTTATGCCTTGGGATTCTACACCTGACACTTACATCAAATCAGCCTGAAATTATACCTTCAAATCATCACTTTTTTTTGCTAAAATTGATGGCATACCCTTTAGTTTCCAACGCCTAATCCTCAGCTAATATTAGTAAATAGTGTGGATTTTACTTAAGGGTGGACAAAAAAAAATCGAATCCAACCGTTTGAATCACTGAACCGAATTGAATTGAATCGAATTTTTAGTTAATTGAACAACTTCGGTTCAAATAAATATACTGCATATATGATAGTTGTTCGGTTTAGATTTTTTTTTTTTCCGGTTCGGTTTCGATTCGAATATTTAAAATATTTGCAATTATTTTTATTTAATTAGAATTTTAATTATTTTTTAATATATTTTTTTATTAATTTTAGTTCAATTTATGTTATTTACAAATATCTTTAATTAATCAAAATTTTCAGTTCGAATACGCTTTACAATTTCGGATATTTATTCGATTCTATTCGATTATCAAATACATATATATTTACAAATAATCGAATTTTAACATACCTAGATTTTACATTTGCAAATAACTTAACAGTACACCCTTAATTTTATTTGGCCATATTGATATATTTACTAGTGCTTTTCGTACATTGACAAAATTTCTCTAACAGTAATTCAAATTTTCTCGGGGCTGTGTTTATATTCCTGTTGACTAATGTGTGTTGGAAGTCCAGGCCTTTTCAGGTCCGCTTCAGCTTTTATGAACATGCTGATGTCCGTACTCAAGATCATAGCTGATTATTATCCAGGCCGCCTTCACAGGGTATTTGTCGTCGACCCTCCTTCCCTCTTTTCTTATCTCTGGAAGGTACTTCAGTAAAAGTAAAATTAAATTTTTCCAATTAATATTTAGAAGCTCCCGGGAGTTGGGATCCTAACTACTGTGACTGCATGTAAATTGGGTGCAGGGAGTCAAGCCGTTCCTGGACCTCGCACCATCAACTACAGTCGTGTCATCGCTCGACTACGAGGAGTCCCGGGACTTGAACGACATGTCATTATATCGACGGCCAGCATCCACGCGATTCGACCACGGTTCATCCCAGCCGTCCGTTTCCAAACTCGGGCAATGCTCCTCGTCGAGATTCGCATTCACTGTATCCCAAAGTTTCGACTCACTGAAACCGTGGCACCTCTCGCTGACCGACACGTCAGCAGCAGGTCCCGGCCCCGCAATATCGCCACATAACGCGAGATCTCTCTCCTTCGCGCCACGTGGCAACACGGATGCCGTCAAAAAAAGCTTCTTCCCTTCGACCCCAATGCCGCAGCCCACACAGAAGATTGACCCTTCTTTAATACGACACCCCACAACTCCAAAGCCTTCATTTCTTCACTCGCCTGCAGCTCTTTTCTTCAGAAAAAATCCCCAAATTCAAGAACCCCATCGCGACTCGTTTTTTTTGACGTATTTGAAGTTCCATCGTCGACCGTACGATGAGATGATCTACCGGTCGAAAATGAGACCCCCTCTCGGCGGCCTCGTCTCCATCGTTGCCCCTCAGCTCAGGCGCAGCAGACACGTGTCCGTATCCCAACGGTTCTGATTTTTATCCATCGACGACTTGCCTTCTTAGCTGTACGTACATATATATAACTTAACCTCTTCTCCATCACATATATATATATGTTCTCATTGATTATCGATTCGATAATATCAATCAATATATCTTATTTAATAATAATAATCCATTTAAAATGCCATTTTCGACCAATACTATACAAAATTCCAAGTTAAATCACTATTTTATAATGTAACAGGGAAAAAAAAAAAAAGCGAACTCAATAACTCAACGTAGAAGTAGGCATACTCTTTAATTATTATGTTTTTGCTTCGGGTGTGTTTGTTGGATGAAGGAATTTATACTATTTATACAAAAATTTTCATTTAAAAATATCAAATTAAATATTTATTTATTTTTTATATTATAATAAAAATTAATTTTATATTCAAAATATTAGATACTTATTTATATTATATCATACAATTATTCTAATTCAAATTTTTATTATTCAGATCTCACAAGATTTCAACCTCCAAAACAAACACCTAATATACTTGAAATTGAAGATTATTGCTAGTGGCTTGGTTAGCTACATAAATTATCTCTACAAATAGAAGAATAATATTTCATTTGTCATCCAATTGCGCATTTATTTGATTGAACAAGAATTTTAAAAAAAAATAGAGAAAATAGAAATTTTTACTTTTAAGATTAAAGAAAAATTAAAAAAAAATAGTATTAAAGAAAAATAAAAATAAATTTAGATGGAGTATAATAAATTTATGATGCTCCTTGAATATATATGTTGGAAAGTATCATGGCTATTACTATGTTGAGTAAATAAAATATGTCTACACCATATTATGAAATAAATAATAGTAAATGCATGTATAAGATTTATTCATACAACACATATATAAAATATAACTAACATACATGCTAATATTTTATATAACATGGTGCTAACCCCCTAAATCAGCTTCCTAACAAAAATGTGGAAAGTATATATATATATATATATATTCATTTGAAATGGAACTTGATAATCTAATTAATAAACTGATTTAAATATCAGTTGATGCAGCGTTACTTTTCATACTAAATTTTATTTATTCCAAACAATCTGACTCCTGTTTGAAAACTAGCATGGTTTTAGTATTAATTAATCTCTGTTTCAGCAATGTCACACTATTTGATAGGAATATTTGTATCTTTTAAATGTCGGCATGCTAAGAAATAAAAATTTGATAAATAAAAAAAAGTCAATATAGGAAATTAAAAGACTCTCAATGTGCATAGGACATTGAAACTTTCTGAATTACACGCACACCCACATATATATATATATAATTATTCTCTTCACTGACCACACAACCAATTAAATAAATCTGTCCATATATATACACTTATTCTCCAGTAATATTTTTTTTATATTTATTAGTATTATTATTATTATTATTCACAGCTCATTTAAAACTTAGTTTGTATTTTAGTGTTTGCTCAATTTTGATGTGGACAGAAAATCCTCAGCTTCTGGTCTGGTTTTAACTTCGTTTTGGAGTTTAGGGTTTGTTTGGTTGCACCTTGGATTAAAATATAAATTAAAAAATAAATAAATAAATATGTCTCTTTCACATACTTCTAGAGTTTCTGATCAGAGTGATGACTCTCACTGGAGAAACAATAATGGCAATGTGTGATGATAATGTAAGAATTTTATTATATATATATATATATATAGTGTGTGTATGCATACTGTTACTTTGACTATGTATGAATATATAGAAATTAGGGCAGAAGTGGAAATGTTTTGACTTTTGTTGGTTTCTCATGTATTTGATTGTCATTTCAGTTCTTGATGTGCACAATCGTGCAAGAATAATTATTAGTATTACAGGACTTGCAATAATTGGGCTCTGGTTATATATATATTGAAAAAAATAATACTATCTACGTCTCGTATATATATATCTATATATATATATATATTTTTACATGAGTTTTAAAAATATTATTATTATATTTGAATGAATTAAAAATAATGATAAAAAGACTAAATTATCTTTATTAGTATTGTATGATATAAACGTAATGACATTTGTATAATATATTTTAAATTGAAAGGGTATCTGTAATATTAAATAAATAATACAGTTACTAAAAAATAAAATAGATATTTTGTTATGAGACGAACCAGGTTCGGATCCATAAGTAGTGACAATTACCCTATGAAAAAACAGATAAAAAAATAGATAAAATGTTAAGGCAGGGAAGAATATGTGATTTGTTTTTTTTTTTGTTTTTTTAATATATATATATTGGTAATAAATAATACTATCAAAATTTTCAAAAATAACAAGCGTTTTCTTCACCCAACATTATTTTTTAATTGCAAATTCCTCAAAAATAATAATAAAAATATATAAAATATTCATTGAAAAATATTCTCATTTTTTTTAAATAAAACTTTATTATATTTTTGTATGTTTTTTTACTATAAAAAGAAAAAGTAATCATTATTACTAACTTTTATTAAAATTTGTGTCCGGTCAAATGAGCACATATTTGCACGACGGGGGATTATATTTTATATTTTTGACACAATTTTTTATACTTCAAATAAAAATCAAATCGTGGTTGAACATAATCTTTAACATGACTTCAATTTTTGTGAAATTATGCTATAATGTGAATCATTGAATAGGACAATGAAGTTGCCGACCTTTAAAACCAACCAAAACCAATAATATTATAAATGGGCCCAATAATTTACGAGTTTTGACTCATGTTGAAGTCCACATTTTGCTAACTTATTGGCCCAATTTTGTCGGTTCGATTAAAATATTTGTTTTTAAATTTTTTTTTTCTATAGTATTTTGGAAAAAATATTTTTACTCAAAATATCGTATCAAATACTTAAATTAAACTATCAATCTCACCATAAAACGCAAAAGGTGACCTCATGTTATTATTTAAGTGGACATATTAGATTATTTATATCAATAATTTGCATATTTCTTTTTAAATATTCAGTAACTTCAATATGAGTGACCTCTAATTAAGTATCCCAGAGTGCGAATTTGTATAAAATTTAAGCAAATTAATTAGGCAATTCATGTAAACGATGTGACAATTTTTTTTCCGAAAATCCAATTGAAAAAGGTAAAGTGTACTTACTTAAAATGACGGAACCAAAATTCGAAAGAAAAAAAAAGGGGGGGGGGCTAACTTTTGAAACCTTTATGTCTATTTATTGTCGAACAATTTTATTTTTTGAATTATCATATTTTAAAAATATTGATATAGTACAAACTACAATAATAATAGCTATTTACAGAACTGGCAAAAATTGATCCGATACAATAACTCGACACAAAATAATTGGGTTTGAGTTAAAGATTTCAACCCGATTATGTATGCGGATTGACACGAACTCGACACGATAATAAACGGGTCGGGTTAGGGTTGAAACTCTTAACTTGAACCTAACACGACAACCCGATTATAATATATTAATATTGATTTATATATTTATTATATATGTAAAATAATCATAATTTAATAATTTTTTCATAAATTAATTTAAACTAAGTTCAATTTTAAATAATTCAACCTAATTTACACTCAAACCAATAAAAATTAATATAACACAACAACAAAACAAAAAATTATTTAATTTGAATCAAGAAATTAGACTTACGGGTCAACACGAGTTAACCCGAACCTGACACGATAATAAACGAGTTAACACGAACTCGACAAGATAATAAACGGGTCGGGTTAGGATTGAGTAATTTAATCCGTTTAAAGTAGTCAACCCGACACGAATCGACCAATTGTCAGCTCTAGCTATATATATATATTGCTTATATTTATTTTTTTATTGTTTAAAATCAAAAAATTATATTATTTTATAAAGGAAATTTTAGTCTTAAAAAATTATTAAAATTATTCCATTCTCATATTTAACATTTTTTATTCATTTTAATATTTTAAATATTATATATACATACATATATTTTTTTATAAAATAAATAAATATAAAAAAATTCAATAAATTGGGGCTGAAGCCAACCCTTGCTTTTTCACGTTGCAAGATTTATGTAATTATATATATATATATATATATATATAGTTATTTTTTTTTTTTAACTACAATTGATAAAATCATCTCAAATAACAATTAAGAAAATACAATCAAACTTATATATATCATCTAAAAATTATGTAAAATATAATAAAATAATATATATCATCTCAAATAACAAGTAAGAAAATAGTATCAAACTTATATGTATTTATAAAATTATATGTTTCATTAAAAATTACAAGAATTAAATAATAAACAATTAAAATAAAGTGAACACTAACATTTTTGTTTATATATATTACTACATAATATAGCATAGAATATATTGTTGATGGTTATTTTTGTTAATTTTTTTTTATGAGGTGGTAACCTGCAGTCGCTATCCGAAAGTGTACATTGGTTATTTTGTTAATTTAGTAGTATATATTGAGGGTTTATTCACCGATCAAATTTTATATGATACGATTTTTAATATATAATATTTATTTATTTTTTATAAAAATTAACAATTTAATATAGAATATTATTTTTTATATTACTTATATGTTTCCCACACCTTACACACACCAAAAAAGAAAAAAAAAATTCAAAGTAAAATATTAAACAAACAAAACCAGAATTCAATAAAATAAAAAATAAAAAATCAATTCAATAGTAAACAGAAGATGAGGCACCCTGTAATTGTATTTTCATATGTTATATACATATTTTTATTGTTATTCAAAGATTTTATTTAATACAACACTAATTATATTCTTTATTCATATTATTGACCCGATGAATAACAAATCTACAATACATATGGGACTATATAAAAAAGTTCCTAAATATCCTTAAAGTCATTATACCCATTGATTTTGTTAAAAATTTTGGGGGAAAATAATAAAATTGTCTTATTATCGTCAAAATAAGGAGCTTATATATAGGCCATGCAAAACAGACTCGATAGACTCAAATCTAAATAATCTAATCTATAAATAAGATCAAATCGAGATATAAATCTACTAAATCTAGAACTGAATATCTAAAATATCTCAACATCTCCCCTCAAACTCAAGTGGTATAACATAAACCAACTTGAGTTTGATAAAAAAATCTGAATATAAACGTAAAAACAAAAACATAAATAAAAATAATAGTTGACTCTCCATTGGAACCGGAAACGAGATGAGTTTCTACCCCGGAGCAAAAAATGAAATGACTCCACCGGAGCCAAAAATGAGATGACTCTCCACCGGAGCCGAAAATAAGATGACTCTCCACCGGAGCAAAAAACGAGATGACTTTCCACCTGAGCCGAAAACGAGATGACTCCACTGTAGTCGAAAATGAGATGACTCCATCGGAACCGAAAAACGAGATGGCCGAAAACGAGATGACTCCACTAGAGCCGAAAACGACATGACTCCACTGAAGCCGAAAACGACATGACTCCACCGGAGCCGAAAGCGACATGATTCCACCGGAGCCGAAAATCACATGACTCCACCGGAGCAAAAAACGAGATGACTCTACCGGAGCCGAAAATGACATGACTCCACCGGAGCCGAAAACAAGATGACTCCACAGGAGCCGAAAACAAGATGACTCCATCGGAGCCTAAATCGATATGACTCCACCGGAGCCGAAAACGATATGGCTTCACTGGAGCCGAAAAAGATATGACTCCACCGGAGCCAAAAAACAAGATGACACTCCACCGGAACCGAAAACGAGATGACTCTCCACCGGAACCGAAAACAAGATGACTCTCCACCGGAGTCGAAACCACATGACCACCGGAGCCGAAAACAGACAAATCGCAAACATCGGACAAATCAGATCGCACGGCTGCGGGCCTTCCGACCAACCAATTTAAAAAAAGAAAAATATTCTTTTTATAATTTTTTTCTATTTTTTTAAAAAATTAATTCCTACAAACTTATATATATACTGAATTGGTCGGATGGAGAACTATCCAGTAGCAAGTCGGTTGGATAGAAAGATGAGAGAAAAAAATATAATAAATTATATAAATATATATTTCGATAATTTTTTTATTCTATTAAAAGAATATTTTTTACAAAATGATATATATACTAAATTGGTCAGATGACAAGGAAGAGAACCGTCCAGTAGGTAGTCGTTAGGGATAGAAAGACGAGAGAAAAAAAATATAATAAATTTGTTACGTACAAAAAATAATAATAATAATAAACATAAGGATAGCAAAATTTTAAAGGAAGTTAGACACGAAGTCGGGTGGAAAAGCAAAAAAGAATTTCCTGCGATGCACGTCACGGCCAAAAATCGCGAAAGACGACCTTGTATGCTGTTCACGGATCCGTCGTGCAGCCGTATATTGCGAGCGAGGATTTGCACACGGGCGCCGACAAACCCGCGTCAACGCGAGAAGTCTAGTAAGCCTTATTGTTTAGAGAAAAAGAGAACACGTAACAAAGATTCTATAGGTGAACCTGCGAAAGGATCATTGTCGATGTCTGCCCCGGCATACAACAGCGAATTTGTGACCCGACGTAGGAATGCCGGTCAGGCCGTCCGTCGAGGCAGAGTGGCCGCCCCAAAAAACTCCTGCGCGGATTTTTGAAAATATGTACGCAGCAAAAATGGATTTCCTGCGATGCACGTCACGGCCAAAAATAGCGAACGATGACCTTGTATGTTGTTCACGGACCCGTCG